GTTTTGTGGTTGTTTTTAAAAGAATTCCATATGTCCAGGAATTTTACATTGTTCCCTATTGGCACATGGCAGGATATCCTGCCACTAGGAATGAGTCATAACCCTCAGCCCCTGCCCCCAAAGGCCTGAATCTTCTCCCTGCCCACCTTGACCCCTTCTAGAGTGACTTGCCCCTTCTTAGGGGAGGAAAGCAGTGAACTTCCTTTCTGGTTGGCCTCAACTGTATCAAGGCTTTAGAGTTAAGTAGTCAGGACAGAAGAACCAAGCAAAATCCAAACTTCTAGAAAGTGTACAAGGCCATCCCACAACTAGACGATGTGCATGCAAGCTCTTGTCTCTAGCTCTGCTTTGGGAGAGAGGAGGGAACTCATGCTGATTTTCATATTAAACCGGTTCATGTATACCTGGGAAGGTCAATATTTCCACGTGTAATGCATCCCCAACTTAAACGACAAGTACTTGATTCTTCCTTTAGAGAAAGAATACGGTTTGTGGAAAAGCCCCAAAACCAGAGGAGGAGGTTCCAGCTTATCCACAAGTTACTTATGTGAGCCAAGCTACACTAATTAACCTACAAACTTAGTACCTGATCTACAAAATAGAGGCGATGAGTTGGATGACATCATTGCTAACAGTCCTTTCAATTCCACAACTGTATCTCTGTGAAATAAAAGTAACTGGGAGATAGTTTGTAGTGACTGCTTTCCCCTTCATTAACCCGAGGAGTTGTCTTGCCTAAAAATATGCAATACTTTAATGCAACTTTAGACAGGCAAGTGAATCAGCCTCCTGAAGGTCTAGATTAGAGAATGAGCAGCTATTCAGAGCCTCAAAACACAATAACACTCACAGAAAGAGAACAAGCCAGCTTCTTTGGAGTCAGCAAACATTAGCAGGGGCTGTAGCATTAAGATAAGAGCAGAGTAATGAGCAAACAAGTGCCACCAACTTCCCTGACTGCATCACTCAGCCATTCGTCACGTCCCTAACCGGCCTTGATGAATGGACTCCTGCTGCTGACATTTTTTCTCCCTTAGAAGTTACTTGGAAACTTGACTTGGCAAAATGCTTCTCCTTTGAGAAAAATAATGTAAAACCCTGCAAGTATCAGACATGGGAAATAAAAATATTAAAGATATACAGGTTTCCATAAGCAACCAATCCAAGAGTATCAATTCAGAAAAAAAATAAAAAAAGGAACATCATGATACTTAAGTCAAAACGAAGGCCACAAAATGTGCAAAATAAATAGTCTATAAAGCAAATGAGGTTGTGGATGCCACCATTTATGAGACATACAAGATCTTTACAAGACATAAGACATTTACAAGACAGATAAAGTAGGTACTATCATCTCTATTTTACACATGAAGAAAACAGGATCAGAGAGGTAAGTAATTTGATGACCCACAGCTATCTAGTGGCAGAGCTGGGCTTTTACTTTCAAAATTATTTTTAAAATTAATTAAAATGTATATTTGTAAAAGTAATACATACACACAGTTAACAAATGAAACAGCACTAGAAAGCGTATGATGAAATAAAGCAGTGTTTTTCATTTTTCTGCTTTACTGTCCTTTGACTGTGTTTCTCAATGCTTTCATGTGATTCCTAATTTGGCCATCGTGCTTTTAATTTCCAAAAGCTCTTTTTTCTTCTACAGCTGCTCCTATTACTTTTTAAAGCATCTTGTTCTTATTTCCTGGAGATGATGTTTTAGCTTTCTAACGATACTGACGACAGTTTTGGGTTTTTGTTTTCTTCTTCCCCCTGTTTTCTCTTAATTCTGTTTATTTTGTTTAGGCCTCTGTTTTCATATGGGCGCACATGTGTGCTCAGTTGCTAAGTCATGTCCAGTTCTTTGTGATCCCATGAACTGTAGCCTGCCAGGCTCCTCTGTCCATGGAATTTTCCAGGCAAGAATAGGCAAGAATACTGGAGTGGGTTGCCATTTTCTCCTTCCGGGGATCTTCCCAACCCAGGAATCGAACCCACGTCTCCTACATCGGCAGGCCAATTCTTTACCACTGTGCCACCTAGGAAGCCCTGTTTCACATGGGAGATTTTCATAAAATGTTCTGTGGTCCTTGGTGTCTGTGTATAATAGAACGACATTAAAAGGCTAAGCAGGAGCTCTATATGTATGTCCCCCACACAGTGCGTGGGACACATTTATACTAAAAAGCTATTCACTGTTTATCTGAAATTCAAATTTAACTTCTTGTACTTCCATTTGCTGAATCTGAGGAACCTGGATATGTGGCTTATGGATTCTGGCCGCTGGCTGACTGGGCTGTGGGCTCGAGTTTTCAACCCATTTTACTTCATCCCGTCTTCTGACTTCTGCATCCCATTCCCACCTTGACTTTGCTCAGCCCAGAGCACTTTCATCACTCCAGAGGATAAACTTCTGGCCTTCTCCAGGGATAGAGGAGAGGGAGTTCTGGCTACTTTGGTGGAGGACTTCATGGGCTCTGAGTGTCCTGAAAACTGACTTTCTAGTTACTTCCTCATCTTAAGCTGTGAGCATCACATTCCTTTTTTCATGGTGCTTTTTGTCTCTGAGCCCCACAGCTCACTCCTTAGAGCCATCCTGCTTTCCACACCACTCTGCCAGAACACCCGACCATCAGTGGGCCTTCATTCTCCACAAACACACTGACACCTCTTCTCAACTGTGGTGTGTCCTCTCCCTTTGTCCTTGTAGATCTGCTTTTGCTTTTAAATTTATCTGGTGCTGTTCAAGTGGTGTTTCAGAAGGGAGAAAACATAGACACTTGGGCTCAGTAAGCCAGGTTTAACTAGAATGCCAGAATGAAACTTAAATCCAGACCAATATCATCCCAAAGCCTCTACTCTTTCCTCTCTGTCATGTCACAACCCATTCACCAGAGGCCAACAAGAAATACCTGTGGCACAGAATGTCAGCTGTCTACTCCAATATCTCTCTTGCCTTTCTTTCTTAGTAATAGAACTCCTAGACTTTAGCATGACATGTAATTACCCAACACAAAGCCTTCCTATCCTAACCTAGGATGGCCAATGAAATGTAGGTGGAATTGTTACATGAAGTTTCCAGAAAATGCTTTTAAGAAATAACTTGCATTACCTTTGGCTCCTTTCTTTTTTGTTCCTTTCTTCTTTCTGATAGCTGGAATGGGGACCTTGTGCCTAGAACATGGGCAGCTACCTTGGGCTAAGGTGGAAACCAGGTGTTGAATGTGGCCACACAGAAAAAGAAGCCTGGGTCCCTGATGACAATGGAACTATTCTACCAACTGCAGGTTGCTTATCTCCAGACTTCTTTGATGTGACAAAGAAGTAAGCTACTGTGATTTTGGGTTTCCTGTCCCTTATAACTGAAGCTAATTCTCACTGATGCCATGCCAAGCACCGTAAGATCTGAACAGAGTGACATAGGCCTCCTAGGAAAGGTGGTAGGAAATAGTTCAGCCAGATGGGGAAGTTGAGGAACAGTGATAGGGCTGGAGAATAAGGGGCACTGCATAAGCTGCTTTCAAAGGGTAACATGCAGTTAACTAATAAAAAAAACTTATTTTTTCTGAAAAACAAAATACAAAGGGTAACAATAGACCAGTTGAGTTGAAGCACAAATCATATAGGAGAGAAGTGAGAGAGAAGAATGCAAAATGGTTGGGGGCAGATTATGGTGGGAGAACCTTGAAACATGAACCAAGGTTAGAGGTTGCTTTGAAAAATATGAGGCCACTGAAGCCTTTTGAGATGCGAGTTGGAGACTCATGTCTAGAATGTGAGGGAGGGTTAGAAGGAAGAGTTTTGGGGTCTTCTCTATGCCTCTATAGAGGTAATGTAGAGTTCAGGCCAGGAGAGTGAGCAGAGAAAGAAGAACTGGAACTCATGCATAGAAGCAAGGAGAAGAGAAAGCTATAAGAGATCCAGAAAAGGAGAGAGGAAGTCAGGCGCATGCTGGGGAAAAAAAGAAGGTAGACACTGATAATACGAAGTCAGTAAACCTGCGGATGTCTCAAAGAAGGTAGAAAATATCAGGAATGAGTAAAAGACGTTGAATCTGGGGACAAGAAAGTCTCTGCTGACCTCCGAAAGTACAATGTTGGCAGAATGTGAAGGTGGATGCTGGTCTGCAAGTGCACCTAGGTGCTAGGAAAATAAAAGTAGTCATTTGCTCCATTTATTTTAAAAGGTAGGCAGTAAAAGAAAGGTAACGTGAAAGGCAATTAAAGGCCAGGAGGTCAGGTCAAAGAATTTCTTAAGGAAGAAAAGTTGTTTGGTCTTTAAGGTCAGAGAAAACTGTGCATGTCAGTGAAGGAAGAGATGACCAGGCCACCAAAAGCAGTGGTTCCTGATGGAACAGGTTTCACAGGAAATGAGCAGGATGGCATCACCAGCTCAGGTGGAAGCCTGAGCTTTGGGGAAAAGAAGGATGGCTTTTCTGAGAAAGAGAGCTAGAGGAGAGGTGAAGAATGAAGGCTTGGATTTCTTGTCATCCTTTCAGCAACACAAGTTTTTCATTAGCATCATCGATGCCACTAGAGATCTAAGCACTAGTAGTAGTCTACAATAGCAATCTTAGGGACTTGGTCCAGTGGTTAGGACTCGACACTTCCACTGCAAGGGGCGCAGGTTCCATCCATGGTTGGGAAACTGGATTCCACCTAGTTTGTGGAGTGGCCAAAAATAAAACAGCAATCTTAGCCAGTCTTTAAAAATGTCCATCACTTAGTTTCAGCCAGTAGTCCCAAACAAGGCTCATAAAACAGAAGGAAAAAATATGTATCTTGTGATTGTAGTCATGACTGTCTTGTTTCACAGACAGCACACTAATGAGGTTCTTTTAGATAAGGGGAAAAAACAAAAAAACAATGACAAAAACTTTAGTTCATTTACATATTGACATCAGTGTTAGAATAACAGGCAACCTCCAGTTTGGACCTAAAAGTTAATTACAGGATGACACTTTAGATATCCATTTGTCAAATAGATCAAATGCCAATACCTACTCAAAGTACAGCGTGAGGTCTGTTGCCAGTATTGACTGCTTCAAAAGCTGCATAAGGTCACTGTATTCCTTGGAGGACAAATTAGCAAAGATGTTGTGACCCTGGAACAAGAAAGTAAAAAGTCACAGAAGACAGCATTACATCTGAGCTTGGCAACTACATGTTTTTTCTACTTTTATTCAAAAACAGTCTAGAAACATGATAAAATAATTCTTTAAAAAGCTTAACGACAATCTGTGCAAATACAAACAGATTCCCTGGCAAACAGACCAAAGCCAGCAGTGCAATCATAATCACTGGTGAGGAGGACCACCAAGGGACACTTTATCACATCCAGTTTCGAAGAGAAAACTGGAAAGTGTTTGAACTCCTCTTACTAAGCCTATGACTGTGCCAACAACTCCATTTAACTGCCCATTTCCTGTGAGATCACTGAGCGGAGAAATCGACAAAACTTCTGGGAAACTTTCTGACCCCTGAACACAGACTAGTCTCCCTAGTAAAGACTTGAGCAGGCATTTTGGAAGTAGTTGCTATTGCAACAAATGACTCAAGGAAGAGAAGAAACGTTAGACCAGTGGTACACAGGTGGCTGAAGTGGTAAAGACTCCACCTGCCATTGCAGGAGCCGCAGGAGACGTGGGTTCAATCCCTGGGTTGGGAAGATGCCCTGGAGGAGGAAATGGCAACCCATTCCAGTATTCTTGCCTGGGAAATCCCATGGAGAGAGGAGCCTGGAGGGCTACAGTCCATAGGGCTGCAAAGAGTCGGACATGACTGAGCATGCAAGCACGCAAATGGGGGTGATTTTGACAATGGGCACTTCTGGCAGTGCCTAGAGACACTTTGATTGTCACGCTGATGGACGGTGCTTCTGGTATCTAGTGGGCAGAGGCCAAGGATGCTGCAATGCGCCCAACAGCCCCCACAACAAAGACTTACTTGGCCCAAAAGTGACAATACTGATGAAGGTGAGAAATGCTGTGTTAGGCTAGATGAAGATACATCTGGATGAAGTGTGTGACATAATTATAGTACAGTAATCGCTGAGTAGCTAGAAAGTATAAGATATTGCTCTTGGCACAGGAGGACTCTAAAAGAGTGACTTTTGCATAGAACAACCTACAAATACACCTGTATCTCCATTCCTTTGAAAAGCACACTTTTTTCCCATCCAGCTTTGTTTTAGCTACACTAGACAGTGCCATAGTGTTTTTAGTCAAGTGAAAAAGTCTGTCTGTAAAGTGACGGACACTTCACTTAATTTGCTTTGAAAGTCAGGACTTTTCGTTTATCAGGCTTTCTTAGCATGAGATACCAACTCACCAACAGGTGGTCTGGGAACTGGGACAGTTTTAAACCGAGTATCAAGAACCAGAAGATGGTGCAAAAGAAAGGCAGTGAAGTGATTGCCTGAGAGCTTTTTCCAGTGAGAGGTAAATTAATTCTTCTGGGGACCAGAATATCAATTAGTAAATTACTACGTACCAGGCACCAGATGATCGCCTGCTCCCTTGAGTTTATCTCATTAGGTGAACCATCACTCCTTAAAGACTAGAGTATATTGGTTCCACCTGGGGCAAGGTCCAATATTAATAATAATTTTCAAACAAACTCTTCTGGACCCTTAATTCAGCCATTAGGAAGAAGAGAAATAACTGAAGGAGCGCCGCACCATAATTCTGCCCGGGTGTCTTTGCCTGAGCCTTGCCCCTGGATCAGTCACAGGCTGGTGTCCTGGGGCCTGGGAAAAAATGGTTGGAAGCTCTGGAAAAGCAGTCACCTAGGTCCAGTCACACATCTAACATTTCTCAGGGAAAGAAACAGAGCTATTAGGAGCAAATTATAGTAAACTCTACTGTGAAGACCAGGAGGAAGCTGGTCTGAATCTGACAATGTTGATTATTTTGTGAGAGTGAGTTTTGCTACCTTTAAAGGATATACAGTAACTAACACAGTTTATAGCTGACAGAGTGACAAAGCTAGCCAGGTCAGCTTTAATAATTATAAGTTAATTTGTAATCAGTGTATGTTTATATGCAAACTGGCCTTCTATGGTGCCTCAAGGGTTTGGTCTCTAAAATAGATTAGTCTCCCTGAAATACTACTTCTATTTCTTGTTTAGGGAGGAGTGGTGTTGATGGGGGAAAAAATTGTAGAGGAAGAAAGATCTAGATCAACTGTCTTTAAGTCATCTAACCTCCCTGCATCATTTGGAAAGTGGGGTGGTAATGACATCTGCATTTTGCCTTTCTGATGGGCAGTACGGGGATGGGGAGAAGGGGAAGGCAGCGCTTCGTTCCATTACTGCTATTCTGCGTTGCTCATAGAGAACCCCGGCACAAAGGGCAGCTGATGAATTTTGCTTGTGTGAAGACAAATTCTGAGTTAGTGGGGCTCTGTTGCACAAGCAAATGACCTTCTGAGAAAACGTGACCTCCTGTTTATAATCAATTATTACAAAGGTGTGAAGGTCTGGCCTCAGGGGTGTAAGCCCATCATATTACCAGCACAGAAAAGATAGTCTGATCCCAAGTTCCTCCCGTTCCTATTCCCCTCTGCACACAGCTAAAACATGGCTTTCATAGAAGAATTCCAGAGCCACGGGTGCTGGGACACTGGTTTCTATCAGAGTTTCTGAGAGCCTAACCCTGATGTTTCATTCTCAACTGAAAATCCATCTCCCCTGACGGGTCTGCCTTCCACAGCTGCAGGCAGGTTCCAGAGTGCTGACTCTCCTTTATGGGGTCGAAGAAGGCTTTCGTGATATTGCAAAAGACACGCTTTCTCAAGATAGGCTGGAGGAAAAAAACCTCCATATTTAATGATGCTATTCGAGGGAAGCAGGGCCTTAATGATGATAATAATAATAATTAATGGCACAGCTAGAGAACTGACAAATAATGGGGAACAGATGATCCCTTCCTGGCCTCAAAAAAAAAAAAGTCTGTATGCCTGCAGAAAATTAAACAGATCCTTTCTTGGCAATTTCAAGTTAGAGTCAGTTAGCTGTTTTACTTTTTCTCTGTGGAGAGCTAAAAGTATAAAAGACCAACCACTTCCAGCGCCTGCAATGCCATATGAAGCAAAAGAAGGCCCCCAGCCCAGCTTGGGTCTATAGTTGCAGTTCTCACGTCCAAATTGTCCCACCAGCAATTTTAAGTTCTTTTATCTTTTTAATAGGTTTCTCAATTATGTAAATAAAGTGTAACTCTCTTACCCTGTTTCTGATTCCATCATCTTTTCAAATGGGTTTTGCAAAATGGAAATGTTGGGTCACTCACTTCTGGGGTCTGTTACTGGGCTTCTGTACCCTGAAGAAATGTAAAGCCATGTTCTGGTGATAAGCAGTGGGAAGTCTGCTCTAAGTGAATCTGAAAAGCCCCCTAACCAATAATGAAAACCCAAATGAATTAGCTCAGGAAGAATCTGAACAAGGTCCTTGGTCAGGCATCTGAAAGAATTTTTTAAAAGCCACAAAGAAGAAATCCAATAGTTCTGATTCTCTGTATTTCTCCTTGCAAAGAAAGAGAAGCAGGAAGCATCATTTCATTGGGTTTCTTTCAAGGAGAGAAGCAGAATGTTGGGTTTTTACCTCACTCTGAAGGATCATCACTGCATGGTTGAAATGGTGGTGCTCTAAGGTGGCAGAGGTTCCGTAGAGTTGGGCCAGGGCAGAGCCGCTCCTGAAAGAGGACAGACGCGTGAGTGACCAAGGTCCTTCTGCATCAGTGACCTCCCCCACACCAGCTCTTAGGATCACATTGCTGCTCCTATTTTTACAAATAGCAGATACATGAGCAGATACATTCTCAGGTAACCACTTGTGGAGTTCACAAATCCATAAAGTAAACCTTTTGGGAACCTGCTGTGTGTTAGGCTAGACACAGTGGGTGATACCACCATGAAAAAGACATAGTCCACGCTGCCAAGAAATGTACAAACTAGTAGGGAGATGAGATGTGGTCCTAAGGGAAAATAATGGACAGAGCACACAATATAAATGCCATAGGAAGTGTTTCAGTTCAGTCAAAGAGCTCTTGGTGTTCTGAGGACAAGAGACATGATTCCTGGCTCTGGGGATCAGGGTAGGCTTCATGAGCTAAACCTTATAAAGTTTCTGAGTATCCAGGACAAATGGCATATACTAAGTGTACTTGCTATTCCATGGGAAACACCTTGTGAATACTATGTACAACCCATTTAATCTGCTTTACATGTAAGGTTGACAAGCTTCAACTATGGTTTTCCAACCTATGGTCACAATATGATATCTCAGTGTCCAACTTCAGAAAGTTCCCTGGACGTGGAGTCAGAGCTCACCTCTCAGTAACAGCTTTGGGTCATTACTTGGTTGTTTGAGAATCAGTTTCTTTGTCTCTAAAATTATGATAATACTCTCTATCTTACCTGCTATTTATGAGACTACAATAAAATATTTCTAAGTGCCCTTCATAGTGCCAAGCATGTAAGTAGGTTGTAGTCTATACTAGTTAAAACACACAGACATTTCCATTTAAAATAAATAAAATGTTAATTGATACTTGAAAGGATTCTTTTGAATTATCTATAAGTTTTAATCAGGTGGTATTATCTCTTTCAATCTTGCCCTAACCTATATCATTTAATAAGTGACAATTTGTTAGGCTAATCTTAGCAGTATGTGATTAAGAGTTAATGTTAGTTACTATTTTTGTAACATACAGTTCATTTTTATGAAAATGCGTTTTTCAAAATGCACACTGTATTGTGCCAACACACTGTGTTGTATTTGTCATGACTTTTGAAAATCTAGGCTGGAAATCTAGGATGAAAATCCAAATGCCTGGATGTATTTAAAATGCCTAGATAGAGTAGCTGCTTAAAAAATATTAGCCTCTTGGCTAATAAGGTTGTGGTGATACGTCTAGACATTATAGTTCAAACTGAAGGTTGATAGTAATGTGTATTAACATATTTTAAAATAATATTATTAATAATAATAGTTCTATGAGTAAGTACCTATCATGCCCTAGGCAATATGTTAACACCGCAACATATTACTTCATCTAGTACTGACAACAACCATGAAATAGTTATTTTCTCATTTTACAGATAAGAAAACCAAGGCTCAGAGAAGGTATGTTACTTTTCCAAGATCACAGAGCTAGTAAGTTACCAGTTCTAGATTGGCACCCAAATTCTGAAGTTTTTCTGATTACATAATGAGAAAGAGAATTTTAACCTCCACATTTCTTATATCCGAGTCTACATTTTTGCCAAGTTGGTTGTCATCAAACCTTTGAAAGAAGTTTTCAAAATTTGATTTAGAATTCTCCTGTTATAGCTGCTAACTTCAGACTCAGATTCCTGAGATTGGTTTCTATCAACCAGCCACATACCCCAGTTATTGGTGTGAATCCTAAGAGAGTCCTTGGCGTAAAGTGGGGCGGAGATGCAAAATATCATCTCCTCCTTTATCACGCTGGTTTAGCAGACCTCACAAGTTAAATCAGCTAGATGATCACAAATCACTAAATATTTTTTTTCAGGATGAGTAGGATGTTTGTGTCCTTTAGCCAGGGAACAACTGGTGCCTCCTCTGCTCTCCCCAGATCCATGAGGCTTCTGAACTGTTATGTTTCATCAGGAGGACTCTCGGAGTGCTTGAGCAAATGCATCTGAAGGTCCACACTTTAAGAGTCTTCATCCTTACAAAGGAACATCCTCTTTGTTCCTTTTAGTAATTCCATCTTACATGTTCCACACACTCACACAACACTGAGCCAATTACAAGTATGCAGATTTTGCAACAGAAGCAGACTAATGATGCATTCATTCATTCACCTAACAAGGACTGAGGACTATTATGATGCGAGGCTATGAGCATGTGGGATATGGAGATAAAGAATGGCTCTTACCCTCAGGAAGTTCAGAGTCCCTATAACTGCACTTAAGACTTTCTCTGTCCACACTTTCATTAACAATGCTCACCTTTCTGCAAGCAAGGTGCCATCTTGAATAGAACATGATACTAACTCTACTTTGAGTTTTCTTTAGAATAAAATCATTTAAACAAGAATGCTTCCATTTCCCTATGGTTGCTTCAGTTACACTGTTAGGTTTGGTCTCTGTCAGATTTTCTGAGACTCCAGGACACCCTGGTGCTTTCTCTCTCAGGCCGAGGCTCACTGAGAATGCTGCCTGCACCTGCCATTACTCACACACATGTTATGAATCTCCTAGCACTGCAGGAGTGAAGTCCATGGTCAGAAAACTTGATAAAAGTGGCAAATATTGAACTGTTAGGATAACCTTTATCAGAAAGCATTAGACAGAATACGAGTTCTTTGGGATGTAAAATGGCATTATGGGCAGAAGTGAAAAGGGTCTCAGAGTTAAATGCACTTGGGAAATGCTGAGTTTAAGAAGTTAAACTCTTAAGATACTTTAGGATTTATCTGTGGCATCAATATGTGAACATATGTACTGTGATTCTGCAGGAAAGGAACATATTATGTAGTATTAACCAAACTTACTTGATCATTAAACCATTTTTTTAAAAGACGACATGTGTTTCATGTAATGTACTCTGTGTAAAGGGCATACTGACACTTTTTCATGTAAAATGTGGAAAAAACCCTCCAATCAATCACATATGGAAAAAAAATGACTTTAATACCACACCTCGTTTTAATTGTCTGTGGTAAGTATATCCATCATATCAGTAGCTCTGGGGCACACAGACTGTAATTGTGAAAATATTACACATACATGGAGGGTGTGTGGAGACAGGGGGAGAGGAGAGGAGAGGAGACTCCAGATCCTTTACACACAGGAAGATTTACACCTGTGATTATTTATGATGCTCATTATTGATTAGGTCATCCTAACATACTAAAGTTTTTCATTTGGGAGCAGGCAGCACACTGAGGAGAAACTTAGATAAAAGGAAAGTCAGTGTGAAAATGGCTCTCCCCTCTAGGCATTTGGCACTTTGCACAGGCACCAAAAATAAGCGTGCAAAAGGAAATTTCATAACTGTGAGCTATGGACCCTCATAACTTCCCTGGATATGCATATTCTTTGAAAAAGAGACTTAATGGAAGTGTGCTGCCATGGCTTACAGGAAACTTTCAGAAGGAAAACTACTGAAGGTAATTAGGAAATTGAGAATTGTTGGGAGGTGGGGAGGAATGGGATTAGGCTGTCATGGCAGATTAATGTGCCCCCGTATTTCACTTCTGGGACCTGGCCGAAAGCGACAAGATGGGTTTTCATTCCCAAGAAATGAGTATAAGAGATTATGCTAGAAATGAATAGAGGAAGTCTCCTAGGAGAATATACTACAAAGCTGCTTGGTACTGATATTTAATCATCAGGGGCAGCTGTAATAGGAAGGGCAATGAGTGGGAAACAGTGTCCCTGGAGAAAATAGGAGAGAGGTGTGAACAGAGCAGTTTCAAAGTGCCATGGGATCGCTGCCCTCTCTGCCTATTGATCATGCGCTGCACGCACTCCAATACTTTAAAATTAAGAGTAAAATATGAAAATGCGAAGGCTCACTTATCAGAAAGGCTAAGAGAATAAATCACACTGTGCTGTGACTAAAATCACAACTTTTTATTGTAGAGGCATTTTGCATTTTATATAGTAATTTGTCCCTTGCTAAATGTCTCCTGTTTCTTTATAGCCTTATATATGAAAAAAAAAGGTAGCATATGCTTTGTCACATAATAATTGGTGCATTTAAATCCCATTTCCAAATCACTTAAAAGGCTGGAATTAGATGGTGAATAGTTTAAGGAAAGTGACTATTTGTTACACTTCTTATTTCCCCCACAATGCCTCGCACAGTGCCTCGAATCTAGAAAGCACTCAATTGATGGGGAATAAGTAAGGAAATAAGGATATAGGTTTCTTCTGAGGGATTTTCCTAAACAATGGCAAACTTGCTGAGCAAATCTTATCCTAATCAGTAAAATGGTAGTTCCTTCACCATGATGTCAAAGGGTCTCTTTTCAGTGTTTACTGAGGAAAACTGTAACTGAGGTGGAGTGGTGATGGCATCTGGTATGCTAAGCTTAAATGAGACTCTACAGGAGGGGCAGGGCTGATGGACACCCCACGGGCTGGCAAGCTGTAAAAGGCCAACCATTGTGAGGAAACAGCTCAGACCATCTTGGAACGCATAGATTTGATCATGTGGTGTGAGGATGCAAAAAATTTTTTTGAATTCTAGTATCAGAGATATCATAGCTATCTCATATGTGTGAAAACTGTTCAGTATTACCCAAATCACTTGAGATTTGGGGACCTCAGTTTCCAATTTTTTAAAATTACGGCATATGAAAAAAATTTTGAAAATTAAGGAATATGACTACCAAGATCTAGTTGAGTTCTACAATTTTTACAGCTCCACGTCTTGATTTTCTGGATATCAAAATGAATCTTAGTTTTCCAGAGCTCACATATATCACAAGCCAGCCAATAAACTGGAAATTCAAAAGCCTAAAATATATACCACAAAGTCATGAAAGAGGGTGGGATAAAGTTAAAAAACGGCCCTTGTAGTCAGATAGCCCAGGTCCAAACACTACTCTGCCACCTTCTGGATGGGTGAATTTGGGCAAGTCACTTACTTTCCTGAGGCCCAGTTCCCTCTGTAAGATGGAGACAAAAATATCTAGCTATAGGGATATTAGTTGAGCATTTGAGATAGTAAACAACAAAAAACTGCAATTCTTCTCCTTGTCTCAGGGACCACTCACAGCAAAGAATGGAAATGAATTAGAACCACTTTCACTTAAAAAAAAAAAGTTGATTAAATGCAACCAGGATCTCTGAGCAAGCCCCATTGTCACAAGCATGGCTGGATTTTCTGGAAGTAGGGGCAGGCATGGAAAACCAGGAATCTCTGTCTTCCTCTAGAATTGTACAGTATCTTCTCTGCTCCTTTCTGAATATTGACTTTCTTCTCTCTGCAGATTTGCTCTCTTGCTTCTCTTATTCACTCGGAATCTGTTCATCACCGGTTTCCCCAAATGCAGCCTCAGTGTCCAGGTCTCCATGGACCTGCAGCTTGGACCTCAACAGCTAACTAAGTCAATATCATGGTAATCCAGGACCAGACTCCTGGGAGATAAGATATGATTAGCTGGGTTTGGATTCGGTGTGTGGTCTTGGGCCAACTAGCTGAGAGGTCAACTAACAAGAAGGCCTGGCTCTCCTGGTCTGATACATAGGCTCTCTCCAGGGTGGAGGCTTTTGTAATCTGAGTACATACATTGCGCGCTTGACTCGTTTGAAAAGAACCTACAAGGTGCTTGCTGTTGCTTCATAGACACAATTCTTTATGTGTAAGTGGCAGGACGGTAGGGTGCTCCAGGAAGACAGTGATGATGGTGCCATTGGCCTGAGAGAGGGGTACCCTAAAATACTCATAATAACAAAACGCAGGCCAGGAGCTCAAACATAAGGAACTGTCAGACCCTATAATCAAAGTGTATTATACAGTTTACACTCCAGCAGGCCCCAGGGACGCTATTGTCATCAGTACAACATCAAACCAAGGTATGTAAAAACCATGTTTTATAATAATCCGTAAAAGATCACACTTGTTTAAGAAAGCTTTACTGAAAAGCAATATTAAAATAGTTAAAGCCTCATCCATTCATGCACTTATCATTCATTCACTCAGCAAACATTCCCTGTGGGTTTAGCATGTTCTTGGTACTTGTACACATCACAGGTACTGAAGGAGAAGGGGAGACACACCTGTTAATCAGCAACTAATGTGGTGTGAGATGTGCAATTTTGAAAAAGCATAGCCAGGGCATGATGTGGGCACAGAAGATTGATGCAGGGAAGGTCATCAAGGATAGAATCTGGGGAGGGGTGGGTGGAGCTTTCAGAGGAGGCTAGGGGAAAGAAGAAGGGCATTCTGGGCTGGGCAAACAGCAGACCGTGAGCAGAGAAAAGAGAACTAGCTGGACCCCATCGAGCACTTTAAGTAACCCCTTGTGTCTGAACCTGGATGCATAGGTGAGGGCGGGGTGGCAGGTGTGAGTACTGTGCTGGAGAAATGTGCAGGAGCCGGATTGAAAAAGGCATTACGGGCTAAACGAAGGAATTTGAACATTATCCTGAGAGTCACAAGAGGCCAGTGAATGTCTTTTAAGTAGGGGAGCAATCCGATGAGATTTGTGAACTAAAAAAGAATATTCTGGAGCTCCAAGGTAGGGAAGACTGGAGGAGGAGAGTTGGGCTGTGGGTTGTAGGAAGAAGCAGTGGTTACTGTAAGAATGCAGAGATGTCAACTCTGAGGAGATCTGAGTGACTTGTGGACTTCTGGTGGTGCCATTCATTGGGATGGAGAGTAAGAAAAGGATTGGGTGTAGAGATAAATACTGGGGTTGTGGTGATGATGAGACTTCAGATAGGAGGAGCTCCTCAAGCAGCTGGAAGAAGTGTTTAGAGATTAGTAGCAAATTATGGTCCATAGGTGTGGGTTTGGGGCCGATCAGCAGGTGGTCCAGCATGAAAGGTAAAGCAGAGCAGGAGAGGAGGAGAGAACGTGTGCAGTGAAGGCTGGGGCAGGAGGAGCAAGCTGAGAAGAAAGGCTAGAAAGGTGGGTGAAGGTGTCTCTCTCCCAGACAAAGGAAGAAAGAGAGCTCTTTGGAGGAGAGCATCACAAACAGTGTCATGGCAAGAAGGATCAAGAAAGAAGGACTGGAAGAGTGTCCTATGGCTTTGGGAAAGGGGGTCATTGGTGGCATTACTGAGGGCTGCTCCCCTGGTGGGCAGACTTGGAAGCTGTGTGGGAGGGAAGTGAAGACAAGGAACAGATGACTTTCCAAGAAGACTGGTTGGAAAGGAAGGAGGAGAAATGGAGCGGAAGCTTGAGGGAGAAGCAGGGATGGAGGTGGGTTTTTCAAGATGGGGAGAACTGTTCATATTAATAGGATGGGAGATACAGGGCAGAGAGGAAGATGGATGGAGCCAGGTCCTGGAGGAGGGAGGGAGGAAGGGATCCAACGCTGAGGTGGAAGGATTAGTCTCAGACACGAGGAGGGACAGCCTTTTCACAGAGATAGGAGGGAAGGAGGAAAGGATGGGGCCAGACAGATAAGTTCGTTCATGGCAGGGGAGGAAATTGAGGGAGTTCTCGATTGATGGCCTCAATTTTCTCAGTGAAGGGGGAGGCAAGCTGCATGGGGGGAGGTGGTGGAATAGAAGGCGGTTTAGGAGGAGGAACACTTGGTATCTATAACTGCTGATCAGAATGGGGCATGGAGCTGGCTAGGGACCCAGAGAGGCTGGTGGGGAGTGCTGAGCCCTTAGCCTAGTTGGGAGAATACCTATTGGGTATGCCTCAGGCTCACAGCTGTGACACTTTCTCCCAAAGCCTTTAAAAGTCTGGACAGAAGAGCAAGAAGCTGAATTGTTAGGTTGAACCAGAGCTGAGTTTTTGCAGAGTCGCTGTCACAGAAAGGTAAGAGGGTCTGGAAATTACAGGACACGGAACAGAGCAGGTTGAAGCGATGGGCTTCTGCATTCAGGATGGATAGAGGGCACACAGTCGATACTCATCTGCTAGATCAGGAGCAAATAAAAGGGCCCAGGGCTCCAAGGCCTTAGAATGTAGGTGTTACAGGGAAAAAAGTGGTGAGCTGCAAGGTACCTGTTGACACACCGTGGCCCTCTGGGGTTTCAGATCACAGAAGAAGACCTGCTCCGGGGGCTTGGAAACTGGTCACCTGAAAGCTAGTCTTACCTCTTGGTTGAAGATCCCTTAGTCTCTCCATCCCCAAACATTTTTCTCTTGAGCCTCTGAAGTCCCATCCCATGTTGTTTGCAGACAGGTAGTAAAAAGCACATTAAACTGGAACCTGAATACAAGAGCCAGGAGACCTGGGTTTTGGTCTCATTTCCAGCACCCGTAAGTTCTGTGGCCTCGGCGCCAGGGTGAGCCGCCAAGCAAGGGCCTCCCGGACCTGTCCTCCTTGCTCAGGGACAGACTGCCCTGTCCCTGCACTGTGCGCACCTCCACATCCCCTGTGTTGGTGGAGTTACTTTTCTTGTTTCCCACCTTTCTGTGGGATGAGGCTTGGCAGGGGCAGAGACCCTCTTTCTCCTCCAACGTCACTCCATCTCATTACAGTTTATACAACACCCAACATCAAAAGAACCTGGAAGAAATTCTACTGGGGAAGGAGGAGATCTTTTGTTTCATAAAATTTCCACTTTTATTTTAATAGTCTCAAAACCAGACTTCCAGGATAGCAAATCCAAGAAAACTATGATCCCCTGAAGGCAAACATTCTGGGAGGGGAAAAAAAAAATAGGCCCTTTAAAAATCTGAGCTTTGTTATCCGACTGAGGTCAACAGAGACAGACCAAATCAACAAGCATGACATGAAGGGCAAATTTGCAATTAAAAGAGGAATAAGGAATTATAAAGATGGATGAGCCCCGTGACACCCGCGCCCAGGCCTGCGTGGCCTTGGCCTCAGACGCCAGAAATTAATGCTTTACTCTTTAGAGCGCGCGTCACCTTTGGCTCTGAACAGAAAGGCAAATGCATTAAAATAACAACAATTAGAACACTTACTTAGCTTGGAAGGCATTGTTGGTTCCCCTGTGGTCGAGGTCATGACACAGGCATCCCACAATCACCGCTAAAATTTCCACCTCGGTCAGAATCTCTTGAAACCCGGCGGTCTGGGAAGATGGGAAAATGGCCACAGTCACTGCTCGGGGCAGGGAGGAAGGCTGAGGCTCATCTGCTGAGCAGCCGTCAGCTCTGTTCATACCCATATCATTTAAGGGAATGATTAACTGCCACCTCTTCGACTAGTGAGTTGCGTGGTGGGCTGCACAGCCCAGGGGCCCCACGGTGATGAATTAGCCGGCACGGTGGCCCGCGCTGGCTGGCACTCCAGGACAGAGCTCAGACTATTTTGTTCCCTTTTTAGAGAAGAAGCTGCGCTGTCTAGATACAGTGACCGTCTGGCAAAGGCTTGGAGCAAAATGTGTTTTGTGATTTGACGTTTCAAAAGGCTGAGCATCTAGGGGTAGGGAGAGAGAGGGGGCTGTGAGTTTAGAACTGAGTGATGTAGCTACCAGATGCCATTTAGATGAAAGTAGGCAAGAGAAAATGCCTTAAAAAATATATGTGTGTGTGTCTATTAGAAAAAGCAACTTAGAAGTACTCAAATTGTTACATGATAATATTCTAGAAGTTATCTTATAAATACCTTAATTCACATTAGTTTGGAGGACAGGTGGAATTTCAGATAAGCAATGCCTATCTTGAAAACTAGAATTTGGCAGAGGATTAGGCGATCCAGACATCGGATCAGGTGGGGAATCCATTACATGCAACTCTTTTCCTCATGATCTTCGGATAGCTTGCTTGTGAAGTGCATGGGTGTGGTGTGATATCTTTGGGAAGCAGGGTGATGTAACTACATAACCAAGAGCAGCAGTGCTTCTGATTCCTGCTGGCCTTTCATTAGTTTAGAAGAGAAGGTGAACTTATAGAAATGCAGGGCTATGCATTTGCTTGATCTAAGGCCTTTTTGCCTGCCCCCCCCCCCGCCCCCCTTAACTGGTAAGCCTCCCCTTTCAGTACTCATTAAAATCTTTATCAGAGGGCAGGAGAAGGGGAAAGGTAGAGTTCAAACTGCTTCCCTTTTCATGTGCGCTTTTTCTCCACATCTAGGATCACTAGCTAATATCTGTTAAGACGGTTCTCTTACAGCAAAGAACACTTTATTTTTTAGTTAATTATGTTTTTATTGCAGAAATAACTGAATGATAAAGTTTCTGTGTCGACAATTTTATTTTAAAAGATTTCTACATATAATTTCATCTACATATAATTTCATAATACATATAATTTCATCTGCATAGTAAATAGGAATGTTTATAAACTATCTGGGCAGGATTAAGTAATCCATATCTAAGCAGTGTGTGTCCGTCATTTTAAAATTCAGAGCTGGCTGTTGGTTTTAAGTTAATTTTATTTTATTGAAGGCATTACTTGCAATAGTTTTTAAAAATTCAATTGTAGTTAGAAACTTAGAACCAAAACCAACAGTCCCTCATCCTTCCCCTATCCTGATTCCGAAAGGCAAGCACTTTCCATTTTCTTTTTTTGTCTAATTTGGTAGGTACTTTGTCTAATTTTCCTCCATGTTACTGTATAGTAGGTGCATGTCAGTAGCCCTTGGTTATTCAGGGGTTTCCCATGTGACTAGAGTCCTTCCTGTGTGCCAGACACTGTCCTAAGAGAACCATAACCATTTAACATACTTCTCCATCTTTGGCTACAAAGAATGTAATTAATGATTTCGGTATTGACCATTTGGTGATGTCCGTGTGTGAAGTTGTCTCTTGTGTTATTGCAAAAGGATATTTACTGTGACTAGTGCAATCTTTTGGCAGAATTCAGTTAACCTTTGCCCTGGTTCATTTTGTTCTCCAAGGCCAAACTTACCTGTTACTCCAGGTATATCTTGACTTCCTACTTTTGCATAAACAAAGAAAAGCAGAGACATTACTCTGCCAACAAAAGCTATAGTTAAGGCTATAGTCTTCCCAGTGGTCACATATGGTTGTGAGAAGGCAGAATGCCAAAGAATTGATGCCTTCAAGCTCTGGTGCTGGAGAAGACTCCTCAAAGTACCCTAGACAGCAAGAAGATTAAACCAGTCAATCTTAAGGGAGATCAACCCTGAATATTCACTGGAAGGACTGATGCTGAAGCTGAAGCTCCAGTGTTTTGGTCATCTGATGTGAACAGACAACTCATTGGAAAAGTCCCTGATGCTGGGAAAGATTGAGGGCAGGAGAAGAGGGTGTCAGACGATGAGATGGCTGGATGGCATCACCGAGGCATGAACATGAACTTGTGCAAACTCCAGGAGACGGTGAGGGACAGGGAGGCCTGGCAACTTCCTTCTTGTAACAGGCAGGAACTATTATTGTCTGCCAGTTAAGGTGAGGAAACCGAGGCACAAAGAAATGTAAGTGCCCCGGGTCTCAGAAAGTGCCTATCTGATGATCAATCTGTAAATATTATCCACTCAGTATCCAATGATTACATCCTTTGTTATGTAGATGTTTAGCTTCCTGGAGTTAAGATTTCTTTCAGCATCTAAGTGAACTTACATCCTACACAGCTCTCTGAACAGCCACACCTTTGACAGGTCCCTTCCTGCCCTGGGGTTCCCTGCTTTGGCCCAGGGCTGATATTTGCCCTGGATTCTCTTGTCTGCTGCCGGCGTCCCCCTCCTGGGGCTGGTTTCCTGTCTCCTGCATCCCACATCTCCCTCTTTCCTCGTTTTCTCTCTCAGTTTGCAGGAACACATCTGCCAGTAGCTTCATCAGAAAGGATGTTAATACTTCTTTAACACTGAGAAAGTTGATTGGTTTTTTTTTTTTTTTTTTGAGGCTTTGCACAACTGAAATGTCTTTAATCTATTCTCCTACTCAATCATTGGCTTGCCTGGCAATTGCAACATTTTCACTCAGAATTTTGAAGGACAGCTCTATTGTTTCCTAACTTCCAAAGTTGCCTTAGCGAAGCATAAATCATTCTTCTTCCTAATCCTTTGAATGGTACTTGATTTTCTCTCTTCTAGACGCTTCTCGCTATGCCTGGGGTTTGCCAATTTCACAAAAATCTTCTTTGGTCTGGGACTTTCCCTCATCATTGCTTGGTAAACCTTTTCCATGGGAAGGGTCATTTTCTTCAGCACAATATTCTTGTCATCTTTTTTTTTCCCCCTTAATAATTTCAACTTCATTATTTTTTCTGTCCTATTTGAACGGCACTCCAATTGGTTTGACATTGGACTTCTTATATTCATTTCCTTATTTCCCATTTCTTCTTTCCCATTGCTCATATTGACTTTTTTCCTCTTACTGTCCAGGAGTAATAATATTTTAAATTTACAAGCATTTTCCTGTCTGCTGCTCCTTTTCTAACATCATACTGTTCTCCTTACAGGGCTGCATTATGGTCTCTTCTCTTTTGAAGATATTAATTGTAATTCCTTTGAAATTCTCTTCTGTTCCCTGAATTGCCTATTTCTTCTGAACTGCTTATCTCTGTGTTTGGTGGTTTCCTCAAATGCCTGATATCCCTGGTAGTCTACTTGCTCATGGGAGTCTACATTCACCACACACCCATGCATAGAGGTGGTGTCTATACATGGCTGATCTCATCACTGGTGAGCACATGGCCAGTTGGTCCTGCCGTAGACCCCCACATGCCAGTGTAGGTACTTTAAACTCTTCCTCTGGGTTTTCCAATCTCTTGCTCAGAAGTAGCATAAATACAGGTGTTGGAACTCTGAGAAAAAGGTATGTGGCTTCTCACCCTCATGATGGAGACTTTCACTTCATTCTCTTACTTTCAAGGTGCGACTCACCTGACTTTTCTTTTACCGGTGTCCCCAAGTCTGGGGCTCGGTCTCTCTGGCAAATACTCGGGCTTCCTGCATAGACGAGGGGAAGAGTAGTTCTTGGGCTACAGGGGGAGGGGATGGAAATTTGGGGGATCAGTGTTTTCATCATCCTTCACCCCATTTTTGTGGTATCTGGTCCTTCCAGTGCCTGAGGTTTGACAGCTTCTAGGAGACTACTGGTTCGCATGTGTACCCCTTCCCTACTCATCCTGAAGGCATTTGGGTCGGACCGTCCTTTTCTTTGTTAATCTACAAATCTCCCTCCCTCCATGAAAACAGTGGAATTTGTGTCCATTTCTTACACTCCTTGTTATTTTGGGGGTGTTTTTTGAAAGGAGAAAGGGATGCAAGTGTCTTTCTCTGTCATCTTGAAACTGTAAGACAGTTTCATTGGGTTTGGATCTTGCTAATACTAAGTAAATCCTGAAAGTCTATCAAGCATGAAATAATTATACACTGTATTCTGGAAATCAGTGCTATAAACACAATGAAGATGCACTGAAATTTAGAGAGACTGTTGCCTGTGAAAATGCTGCTGTTTAGAACGAGCTGATGAATTGGAACAGTAAGAATAGGGATGGGATAATGTCAACCTAAGATAATTCAACTAGAAATTTAATTAGAAGATAAAATCCAATGCCATGTAACAGACTCAAGTTCAAAATCCGGAATCATTTTTAAGCTATCAGTTATCACCCATTGTATACTATGATGGAATATACTTTAAGGTCTTACACAGCCAACTACCCTGCCCCCTTCTTGGAAATCCAGCATTGAGCTCTTAAACTATTTGTATCATGGATATTTTTGAGAATTTAATAAAAACCATGGACCTTCTTCCCAGAAATTATTCTATAACTTCATGGTGTTCAAAGGCCATGGAGCCCATCTCTAGGTCCTGCCAATAAAGAATCCCTGAAGTGCAGCACAGTCACATGAAGCACATTTACCTCTCTTGGCTGTGATACCTGAGTTAGTGAAGCAGCACCTATCTCTTGACTGTGATTTAAAGCTGCTTGGTAAATGGTTTCTGAGGCTTGTCAGGCTTGAGATGTGTCCACCTGCCACTAAGTGTCCATTCGCCCCTCCCCCTCCCCCACCCCCATCCATCTTCTTTCTAGTTCTATCCATTCTGACCCACACTTGACACGCATTGGGGAGAAAAAGTCAACTGCCTGCTGAAGACAATATACTTTCAAAGGAAAACAGAGTGGCAGCCGGAAGTACATTTTAATGTGTTTCTCC